TGACTGCACTGCACTAATACTTACTAGGAAGACAAGCTAAATCATGTTGAGGGTAAGCAAGGGACCTCAGACTCACTGGTGAGTGAAGGGGATGTCTACCTTAAGCATGTGAAAACTTCCCTTGGCAAATTGGGTGCATGAGAGCAATTTGTTCTAATGGTCATGAAGCTGGCTGAAGCAGGTGCTGTGGAGCACTTAGAGCTCGGTCAGACATCAAAGACACTAAGTCATCCTGGGCCATCATCACAAGTCATCTTGACTTTTGTCTTGCCACTGAACTTCAGTGACTCTGGAAGACAGAGTGAGGCTGATGACTTTGTGTAACTCTGCCTCACTTAAATCCAATTCATGTGCAAATCAAGACACCACCCGTGACGTTATGGGTTCTCTTAGAAAAGAGAGGATATACAGTAAGGAATCCACCCAGTATTACAATTAATCAGAGTTGTGCAAAATTTTGTTCTAAATTGCAAATGAGGAATTCTATGGAATAAAGATTCGCTATTTAGATAGCTTGGGATATGATTAGGAAACACAGTACTTGGTCCCCGAAAGACAATTCTGGAAGTGTATTCCCCAGTCTTTAGAATCTCATGAGTTCCAAAGCAAAAGGATGAGAATACAAGGCTGCCACTTGGAATCTCTCCCTGTCTTTTTCACTGGGTTGTAACTGAAAAGCCTTGTGGGAAAGAGACGGTGGGGCTGGGTTATGAACATGAAAGAAATTGATTTGGCTTTCTGGGTGATTTAAAAGGAAATAAAGAAAAAAATCATTGGAAACTGGGAGTACTACCCTGAACCTTTGAAAATGATCTAATTGTTAACTTGACTCTGAATTTTGTGGTTGTAAATTCAGATTTTATTTGGTTAGATTTGTCTTGTAACTAAATTATTATGTGGTGAAATGTATTCTCCTATTAATTATGGCATCAAATGCAAAAAAAAATGCTGGAAAAATGCAGGGAAATCTGATTTACACTCTGTTCTCAGAAACTTATTAGCTGTGTTGTGAGAGTCAAATGATCTAATGATTGTGCTTAACAAATGATATAATCAAATGCTTAACAGAATGACTGTATATGGTAAGCATGATATAAGTATTGACTATTATTAATATTTCTTTAATTGAATGTAATTACTCCATACTTGATAACTCTATATCAGGTTCTAGGTATGATTTTTATAAAATGCCAAAGATAATAAGACTAATGATTTTCTCTATAAGATAATTGAGAAACTGAATTGATGTCATTTGACTAGTAATAAGTTTTGTTTCATGTTTTAGATCATGAGATCGTGTATGCTATGTTTCTAAAATTTTTTCTTATATTGTGAAATCAGAGACAAATAACTTCCCTTTTAGTTTGTGTAGTTAGAATATGAATTGAGCTATTAAAAGAACATGGTAAAAAAAAGATACTTGAAAACGGATATTTAATGGGTTATATTTTGTTTTAAAATAGATGATGATGATGGTGATGATTTGCTGTTTGAAAAAAAAGTTTCACAAACCCTTTAAGATGTTCTTATTTGTGATGTAGGCCCTTTGAGACTTTGTATTTGGGTAAGGTCATAAGATCTTAACGGCCCTACTGACTACATATTGTAAAATAAGTTTGCTAAAAGGCATGGGGTGGTTTAAAGATGTAATTTCAATACATTAATATAAGTCACCATCAGGTATTTCCTATATGTCTGAAATCTCAGAACATAGTTAGTTTTAATCCATAAGTAAAGGATAAATTAAATGTAGCTGTTAGGGAAACATGAGAAAATTAGTAATATTCACAAGCCCTAACCTGTGATTTGTGAAAGTTTGATATTTGTGGAAAAATTTCTTGGACCTATGATTTTATTTTAGCTTTTGATTACAGGGGTGGTTGTCTGAATTGTCATGACACTAACAGTAGAAAATGGCATGTGCTGCAGCCTGAGAACTGCTACAAGTGGATGTCTGTGCCTGGGAAAAAAAGTGAGGGGATGATCTTGGCATGACCTAAAGTAGGATGTTCTTGACTTGATTTCCCCATTGTGCTATATCCTATATGGTCCTTAGACTGGCTATTGATACTCTGTGACTCCATGATTAGCTGTCAGATATTACTTGTGCCTGGAATCAAACAGAGCTAAGGGAGTTTCCCCCCCTGTTATGGTATATCTCAAGTCAGTCGTGCCATTGAGGAGATGAGTCTTGACACATATGTATATACATATGCCTATGTCCTTCCTTTTCTTTTCAAAGTAAATTTCTATAATCAGGGCAAGGTGAGCAGTAGAAGTGTTTTGTAAGTACAATAGTAAATCTGTTGGTTAATAGATTGATACTAACATCTATGAGTTATTATACTAGGATACAAGTATGAAAAATCTTACAATTTTAATCTGTATTTGTGGTCAAATTATAATATAGGGATGATATCCTCCCAAAAGGGGGTTTAGACAAAATAATAAGACAAAGATGTAATGCAAAAGTTTTCTAAATAAATGGAGTGGTAAATTTTGAGAAAGCAGTAGGATTAGACTGTTTTCTCTAAGAACTATATGTATATGATTGACTTTCAAATATATCTAGTATGAAAATTCAGACTTTGAATATGTTTTAATAATAAGTTGTCAAAATTGGATTATGGATCTTACATATAAAATTGCACTAATAATTGTAGAGAAAATGAAATTATTTTCCCATTTTAAAGTATCTGGTAATTTTAAAAGATAGAAAGGTTCATTTTACAAGTTAGACCCTCAGGAATTTTTTAGTTTTTAAGATTCTTACATCAGGTTTAAGTGAAGATAAAACAGCAAGTGTTATATGAAAACTGAAATTCTCCAAAGCTTCAGGTTTGGAGAACCAAATGGAAGAGATTGTACTAAATTGTACTGAGCTTGTTACTGGCAGATTTTAGCAGAATTACCTAGGAATCTCTATAAGTGATTTGGAACAAGAGAAGCAGAGCCCTCTTCAGAGCTGTCCTGAGAATTAGGCTGTTTCAGAATGTCCAGGGAAGATCTTTCCAGGGACTAGATGACTATGTGAGACACGTGTGACTCAAGAAAAGATTAAAATGATCAAATGGACATTGAGAGTGGGTTACTAGGATACAAGAAGACTTGATGTTATTCAATTTTGTTGATCATCTTTGTATCGCTTTGGACTTTTGTTTCATGGTGTTCATGTTGAGTTTTCTTAGTTACCCTGGTGACATGTAAATCTTCCCTCTCAAAATTAATATCTTGTGAGCCTTCTAAATGGTTTGGTCTGTAACCCAACTTATGTAATTTTGACTATGAATATATAAAAAACCTCATAGCTGGCCCCTCCTCTCCATGAATCAAAATGGTGACTTGAGGGAATTGAATGAATCACACTGACTCCATCTTGTGACTCAATTTTTTTTTTGGCTAGGCAATGGGTTTAAGTGACTTGCCCAGGGTCACACAGCTAGTAAGTGTTATCTGTCTGAGGCCGGATTTGAACTCAGGTCCTCCTGAATCCAGGTCCTCTATCCACTGTACTACCTAGCTGCCCCATGTGACTCAATTTTGAATTTAGCCCAGTTCCTTTTCTATTCAATTATGGGCCTAGTCCAATTTCTGTCTTATAAGAAAATTTTATTCAATTATGAGAATTGTGAGAAAACTTTAATGCATTGTTTGAACCTAGCCATGCATGACTGGGAAGTTGGATCACCCCTACCTGCTGCTTAGAAACCTTAACTAAGGATCTAAGTTATGACTGACTAGAAACTCATATCCAAAGACTGATGTAAAGGAGTTTTCTCATAATTATCCATCTCAAGAAACCCATATGTCTTAATCTGAAAATTGGCCCTGTTCTGGTCAATTAGTATGTTCCACCAATTGAATACAGACAATTGGGTGAGGGAGCAGGACACCTCCTGTTGTGATTTCAGGGAACTGCACCTGTTCCTCTCTTGACTTAGACAGTCTCTGATCTTTTCTCCAATTGGGAACCAAATGACTTAATTATACATCTTGTTTTGTATCCTGCATATTGTTATCTTTTAATGCATAAAAATCTGTCTCCCCCTGTATTTGGGGTCTAGCGCCAAATTTGAGGAGGCCTGGTCCCAATCTGTTATGAAATTGGCATGCTTTGCTTAATAAATTCATAAGCTCAGAACCTTTGTTTCTTTAGTCATTTCAGATTCCTCCTGTCACAAGGATAACTCCTAGGTTGTAATCTTTAGTGACTAAGAATTTGGTGGAACTCTTGACAGTAATCCAAAGAGCTAATTTGGGGCAAAAAAGAATAAATTCCATTTTGTCTATGTTGAGTTTGAGATGTATATGAGGCATCCAATCTGAGATGTGAAAGAGGTGGTTGTTAATGTAGACTGGAGCTCATGAGAGAAGGTAGGGCTAATTCTATAGCTAGGGAACCATCTGAAGAGAGATAATAATTTGAACTCTTGGGAGCTGATGAAGTTACCAAGCAAGACAGTTTAGAGGAAGTAGAGAAGAGAGCCGGGGCAGTCTTAAGGATACTTATGATTAGTGGCATAACCTGGATGAGAATGCAGAAAAGAAATCTGAAGAAGGGTCAGACAGGTAAGAGGAGAACCAGGAGAGAGCAATGTCATGAAAACTGAGAGAAGGAGAAGAGGGTGGTTGATAGGAAAGGTCAAAGGGTAAGGATTGAGGAAAGGACATTTTTTTTTAAGGTTGACCAACCATTTTATTTTCCTCTGACCAGTTCAGGAATGTTGATGGGGGCAGATAGCTCTTTACATAGGCTTTGGAGGGGGTCTGGGAGCAGCACCAGCAGGTCTGAAGCTGGGTGGGGGTGTCCGATCCTTTCGTGCCTCCCAGGACCTATTCCTCACTACCTTGCTGTGGATCACGCAGCTTACACAGTAATGCAGTTTCACATACAGTTTGGGCAGCACATAGGAGTCAAAGACACTGGTCTCGGAGATGTCCCTGATGGCCGTGGCTTCCATGATGTTGTGGATGACGAACTTCTTGATGGCCTTGTCCTTGGGCACGCAGCGGGTGCAGTTGGTGCAGCGGATGGGCTGCACGTGGCCGCCGTCCTTCTTGGCGCACTCGTTGTTCCTCCTCTTCTTGGTCATCTTGAAAGCCAGGAACCGAAAAAGCATGAAAGGACATTTGATTGCACAGTGTAGAGCTGATTGATAACTTCAAAGACAGAAGTTTCAACAGAATGAAGAGCATGGAGGTCAGAGTCCAGAAGGTTTTAGAAGACAAATCGTCCATGTAGTTGTACATGGAAATGGAATACTTGACAGATGTAACAATATGAAGGGTATGGCCATGTCTGTGGGTAACATAGGACTTTGACATGTACAGCTGAAAGAAAACGTAGAAAACGTCTTGCCTGAATTAGTCATTTTACAGAGAGGGAAGCTGAGGCACAGGGAGGTGAAATCATTTACCCAAGGTCATAGTTGTAGCATATTTCTGGTCCTCTGGTCCCTGCATGCCATAAAGTGAGGACCTGAGGGTTATTACCTCTATTCCAGCTCCTTCTTTGTCTCCAGATCCCAGACTCCAAAGCCCCATCCTCCAACCCTGTAAGACACTGCCAGTGTCCTATCTGGGAAAAGGAAGCTTCCGGCAACCACTGCAGGGAAAGCCCTAGAGACAGTTATCGACATCAACCCTGCCCCTCCCAGATCAGCGTCAGACCTTCAGTGTTGAGAGGGCACTCTGTCATCAGAAGGCCCAGCTACATTCACAGTAAATACAGACTTCTTGATGAGGGCCATTTCATTTTTGTCCTTGTATCACCAGTGCCTATGGAAGGATATCACATGCCTCTGAAATAGGAGATCAGACCTAGTTAAGTGACTCTTGGACTTGTCTCTCCCAGTTCTGACATTCCATGTTCTGGGCTCCCATCTAGTTCTCCCCTAGCTCTGACATTCTCTCTTCTGACCTCCCACCCAACTCTGCCCCTCTCTGTTCTCCAGCCTCAGTCTCAGCATGGGGCTGATTTCCCAGAGCCTGGGCTGAGACCGCTCTGCCTCCAGGCAGAGTCTCTGGGCTGTTGCCCTGGACTACTCAGAATCTCCACTTGTCACAGGTTTGTGCCTGGGACTTTCACTTCTCCTTCCTCTTCTCCTCCTTTTCATAGGGTGAGTGGTGGGTAGAGAAATCTGACTGTTCTCCCCATCATTTGATTCTCACTCCAAACCCTCGACTCCTCACCTCCCCCCACCACCACAGGGCTAAAGCCCGATCAGACTCCCTCCTCCTTCCCTCCCCTTACACTGGACAGTGTCAGCTCTATCTGTCTTAGCTGGGGGAAGGAGGGGTAGGATCTAAGATAGGTTGAGGGAGGAGTTGAGCAACCAGGCTAGATGTGAGCAAAAGTTCATGTCGGGGGCCCAACCCCCACTCATTTGATGCATCATTTCCCAGGGTTGTGGGCCTGCCTCCTTTTTCTCTTTACAACTTCTGCTTTGTTCATGAGCCTTAGTGCTGGCCAGACAGAAGAAGTCATGAGGCTTGGGGAGTGACAGTGCCTAGAGAGAGCCTGTACCTCTTCTGGTTCAGAGATGCTGCTGCTGCTGCTGCTGCTGTCATCCTTGAGGGGTGAGTGAAAACAGGGCAAGGATGGGGATGTCCAAGAATGCCTTCATAGGCTGGCCTTGGAGCCAGGAGACCCTGGCCTGAGTCCTGCCCCTGGAGCTGGCTGGGGAACTTTTGGCCAAGTTACAGAAATTGCTTTTGGCCTCAGTTTCCCAATTGATCTTCAAATGGGGCTGGACTGAAGTATCTCTTGAGATCTTTCCCAGCATTGACATTCTTTGTTCTCTAAAACCTGTGACACTTAATGCTAATATTAATAATTATCATCATCATCATCATCATCAACTGCTTAGTGTTGTGTTCTGTACCTATTTCTGCCCACAGGGTCCCAATCCCAAAAAGAAGGATACAAATTGGAGGTGTCATTGTCAGAGACAGTTCAGGAAGGGCTCTGCATCTATATCCCCTGCACCTTCTTCTACCCTGATTCCTGGATCAGGACTCGTTCTACCATGATTTATGGCTACTGGTTTAGGAAAGGTTCCTACTTTCTTGAAGATGTCCTTGTGGCCACAAATGACCAAAACAAAAAGGTGGAAAAGGAGGATGTGGGAAGATTCCACCTAGTCGGGGACCCTATGGAGGATAACTGCTCCCTAAGAATCACAGATGTCCAGAAAAAGGATGAAGGACGATACTTCTTCCGCATGGAGAGTTGGATAGAAAAATTCAGCTACCTATATTATCAGGTCACTCTGAATGTGAGAGGTAGGGATCTCTGGGACAGGGAAGGGACCCTGGGCACAGTACAGTGGGAGCCTGTGGGGGAAGACCAGGCTGGAAGCTCCTTTTGTTACATGTCCCAAGGGGAAAACAGGCCATCTGGCCAAGTGAGAGTTGACTCAAGCAGACAAAGGCTGAGGAGAGAGCATAGAGTGTATGTATGGGAGATGAAAGAGGGTATGTACCCTGGGCTTTTCTAGACATCCTGGGTCAGGGATGTTGGAGGGCCACAAGGTGAGGAGTCTGACAATATTTGAAGGACAGCCTCATGATCAGCACCAACTGGGGGACATAAGGTGGGTTCTTCTCCAGGCAGAAACAGGACCATAGGCAGGGATGAGTGGTTCAAGACTTTGGCATGTAGAAGATTCTTGGGAAAGGGGGGATCATGATGGGTCCTAGAAAAGGACATTCTGGTGGCAGGGTCCTGAGCAGGGGTGTGCTCATAACTTTTTAACAATCTGATTCCAAATTTTAATTTTTATCGTTTTTAATAATATTTTATTTTTTCCTAATTATGTGAAAAAACAATTAAATTTTTTTTGGAGTTCCAAATTCTCTCCCTCCCCCCATCCTTGAAGCAACAAGCAATTTCATATAGGTTATACACGTGCAATCATGCAAAATATGTTTCCACATTTGACTGAATTTTAAAATAATATATGACATCTTTAAATTTAATCTGAGGTAATACAAGATTTAGCAGCTTCTACATTAAAAGATCTGAAGGCTTGGAATATGATATTCTGGAGGGCAAAGGAGTTAGGATTGCAACCAAGAATCACCTACCTAGCAAAACTGAGTATAATCCTTCAGGGATAAAAATGAATATTCAATTAAATAGAGGACTTTCAAGCATTCTTGATGAGAAGACCAGCACTGAATAGAAAATCTGACTTTCAAATACAAGGCTCAAGAGGAGCATAAAAAGGTAAACAGGAAAGGGAAAGCATGAGGTACTAAATAAGGTTAAATTGTTTACATTCCTACATTGGAAGATGATACTTGTAGCTTACAAGAATTTTCTCATCATTAGGGCAGTTAAGAGTATATATAGACAGAGGGCAGAGGTGTGAGTTGAATATGAAGGGATGATATCTAAAAAAATAAAATTAAGGTGTGAGAAAGAGGAGTATGCTGGGGAAAAGGGAAAGGGAGGGGTAGAATGGGGTAAATTACATAAAAGAGGCAAGAAAAAGCTTTTACAGTGGAGGGGAAGATGGGGGAAGAAGGGAGTGAGTGAACTTTATTCTCTTCAAAATTGGCTCAAGGAGGGAATAACATACACACTTAATTGAGTATAGTGATCTGTCTTAGCTTACAGGAAAGTAGGAGGGGAAGGGAATAAGAGAAAGGGGGGTGATAGTGGTAGTCAGAAGCAAAACACTTTTGAGAAGAAATAGGGTGAAAGGAGAGAGGGAGAGAATAAATTAAACTGGTGTGTGTGTGGGAATAAGATAGAGGGAAATACATTTAGCAATCATAACTGTAAAAAAAAATTGAAGCAAGTTTCTCTGATAAAGGCCCGATTTCTCAAATATATAGAGAACTGAGTCAAATTTGTAAAAATAGGGGCCATTCTCCAATTGATAAATGATCAAGAGTTATGAACAGTATTCAGATGAAGTAATCAAAGCTGTCTATAGCCATATGAGAAATTTCTGTCAGTTGGAGGAATGTGAATTGAAACAATTCTGAGGTACTGTCTCATACCTATTGGGATGACTAATAGGACAGAAAGGAGAATGACAAAAGTTGGAGGGTATGTGAGAAAAATGAGATATTAATGCATTGTTGATGGAGTTGTGAATTGATTCAACCATTCTTTGAAGCAATTGGGAACTATTCCCAAAGGACTATAAAACCACGCATACCCTTTGTCCTATCGATAACCACTACTAGGTCTGTATCCAAAAAGAGATAAAAAAAAAACCCACAGGGGAAAGGACCTGTATGTACAGAAATATTTATAGCAGCTCTTTTCTGATGGCAGGGAGTTGGAAATTGGGAGGATGCTCATCACTCAGGGAATGGCTGAACAAACTGTGCTTTCTGATTGTGATGGAATATTATTGTGCTATAAGAAATGATGAGCAGGATGCTCTCAGAAAAACCTGGGTAGACTTACATAAACTGATGCAAAGTGAAATGTACTGTGTACAAAGTAACAGCAATATTGTAAGCTGATCAGCCGTGGATGATTTAGCTATTCTCAGCAATATAATGATCCAAAAAAACTCTGAAGGATTGATGATGAAAAATATTATCTATCCCCACAAAAAGAACTGATGACATCTGAATACAGATTGAAGCATACTTTTAAACTTTTTTTCTTGTTTTTTTTTTTTTGGAGGGGGGAGTCTATGTTTTCTTTCACAATATGACTAATACAGAAATATATTTTGCATGGCTACACATGTATACAACCCATATCAAATTCTTGCCTTCTCAATGCGGGGTGGGGAGGGAGGAAGGTAGAGAATTTGGAACTCAAAGTTTTGAAAAAGAATGTTAAAAGTTGTTTGTAGGGACAGCTAGGTGGCCCGGTGAAGCCTTGGAGTCAGGAGGACCTGAGTTCAAATCTGTCCCCAGACACTTGACACTTACTAGCTGTGTGACCTTGGGCAAGTCACTTAACCCCCATTGCCACACACACACACACACACACACACACACACACACACACAGTTGTTTTTACATGTAATTGGAAGAAAATAAAATACTAAATAAATTTTTTAAAAAGAAAAAGATTAATCTGTAGTATTAACATTTCCCCCTTCACTTTCTTAGCAATTAACAAATCAATAAGTCACCTTCTATTTTTTATTTTTGTTTTTATTTATTTTTATTTTATTTTATTAAAAAAAAATTTTTCCATATGTTTTTGAGTTGAAAATTTTTTCTCCCTTTTTCTCTCCCCCCCACCCTCCCCAAGACGGCGCACAATCTGACATAGGCTTTACATTTACATACCCATTAAACATATTTTCACATTAGTGAAGTTGTAAGTAAAAATTAAAACCAATAGGAGGAACCATCAGAAAGATGAGACAAAACTCAACAGAAGGTAAAAATAAGTGAGAGCGATTCAACTTCCATAGTTCTTTCTTTGGATGTGGACAGCATTTTCCATCCCGAGGCCTCTGGAGATGTCTTAGATCCTCGTAATGCTGAGAAGGGTTCAGTTTAACATTCTTAGTCATTGCATAACGAGTCACCTTCTATTTATAGCGTTTGCCAATTTCTGAGGTGCAAAAGCCAACCCTGAAAATTCAACACCTGGCTCTAGTGAGCCCATGTGTTTTGGCACACCACCCCTGGTCCTTAGACTATTAACCGAGGTGATGTCCCTCCTCCACGGTCTGGCTCACTCTTTTTCTTCTCCCCTAGCTCTGACACAGAAGCCAGACATCTTTATTCCAGGGATCCTGGAGCCTGGGCACTCTGTGACACTGATGTGTGCAGCCCCCTGGGTCTGTCGAGAGGGTACACCCCCCACCTTCTCCTGGACAGGGGCTGCTCTCTCCAACCGGGGACCTAGTCGAGAGACTCCGTATTTCTCTGAGCTGACCTTCATCCCGACATCCCAGGACCATGGCATCAGAGTCACCTGTCGGATGACCTTCCCTGGGGCTGGAGTGAGCACAGAGACAACCGTCCCTCTCAACGTGGCCTGTGAGTGTTGGGGCAGGGGAGAGGATACCTGGGTCTGAGAGAGTAAGAAAGTCATGCCAGTGAAGGGGTCGAAAGGAATCTAAGGCTGAGAAGCAGAATCCCAGGATCCTCTGGCAGGTAGGAGTCACTGGGGCGCATGAGGAATGTCACGGAGGAATTTGTGCGAAGCTTGGCGTCAGAAATACTGGGTTTGAATCCGCCTCTGACTCTTCCTCAGCCCCTCCGACAGGCTCATCATTTTGTCGGAGGGTCCTCAGGCCGAGATGTAGCAGGCCTCAGAAGCCTCCGGGTCCACCCTCTTCCTGCATTATATACATTATAGACAGAGCAGGCAGACGTGGTTCTCAATGAGGCGGACGGTTTCTCCCAAGATCGGAGGAGAGAAGCGTCAGAGCCAACATGTTATTCCAGGAATTGTCATTTTATTTCCTTTGGCTTCAATTTATTCCTCCCCAAAAGGAGGACGGTCATAACTGCAGGGCTTCTGCAGCCAGGAGAGTCCTGTTCTGTTAGCCGGGCACCTCCAGGCAAGTGACAGTCTCTCAGAGCCTCAGCTTTCTCCTCTAGATAACAAGACTAACAATCCTTTCCCTCCGGCCTGGGGCTGCTCCAAGGGAAGCAGTTTTCAGTGTAGACTAGTGATAGTTATCACCCAGGCCACACTCTACAGGGTGTGTGTGTGTGTGTGTGTGTGTGTGTGTGTGGTGTGTGCCTGCGCGCCGTCACAGGGGGTGGGCCGATTGCCTACAGCTAGCTCATATTTTTGTTGTAGATCCTTTAAGGAACTTTGGAATCAGCGTTGATCGGGAAAACGGAGGAGGTATGGAGGAGGGAGGGGTGGTGGGGGAGGAGAAACCTTGGGGCTATGCAGACACTAGTTTTCTCAGCTCCACTGGAAAAGGCCAGAAAGTTCAAGATGGCCAGAGAAGACAATGCCCTTGACCTTCTCTCTCGTCTCATCTCCCTCTCCTCTCCTCTCTTCTATTTTTTCTCTCTCCCTCCCTCTCTCTCTCTCCCCTTCCCCCTCGCCCCTCCCCCCCATCCCAGGCGTGGAGTCCTCGTTAAACTTTTCTATCCTGAAGGATGAGTCCTTGCGATTGCTCTGCCGGGCTGACAGCAACCCTCCGGCCATCCTGAGCTGGGCTCATGGGGGCCGAGCGGTGCTCTCCTCCTGGTCCTCAGATGCCGGGACCCTGGTCCTGCAGCTGCCCCACCTTGGGGTAAAGGATGGAGGGGAATATAGCTGCCGAGCTCAGCACCGGATGGAGACCCAGCATGCCTCCTTAAACCTCTCTGTGCTATGTGAGTCATCCCATTTCAGAGAGGAGGGCAGTGAGTGAGGAGTTTAGAAGGCAGTGATCAGTGCTTAATCTGACCTGGGCGTGTGAGCGCGGTACTCGAGAGACTGAACATGCGGTGTTTGGCGAGAGGGGAAAAAGGGACTTGGAATCAGGAGGCCTTTCAAAAGACTCTCACTACGCTACTTACTGACTGTGAGGACTTGAACAAGTCATCTGTAAAATAGGTAGTGGTGGATAACGTATACATTATATTCCTCAAAGGTTTGGTGAGTGGGGAATGGATTTACACTATTAAATGGTGTTTTAATTGCTACTGTGTTTTGAAGCCTGGGTACTTTGGGTGACAGTGTTTGCCTTCGGTCTCATTACTGCTCTCTCTATGCCCTGGGGAGCATCAGACTTCCCCCAAAGGCCAACGCCCTGTGTGTCTTACAGATGCTCCGGAGAACCTGAAGGTCAATGCCTTGGGGCCAAACAGAACAGGTACAGGGAGGGGTGTGTGAGTGTGTGTGTGTGTGTGTGTGTGTGTGTGTGTGTGTGTGAGAGAGAGAGAGAGAGAGAGAGAGTGTGTATGTATGTGTGAGTGTGTGTGTGAGAGAGGGTGTGTATATGTGTGTGTGCATGTGAGCGTGTGCTTATGTGTGTGTGTGTGTGTGTGTGTGAGAGAGGATGTGTATATATGTGTATGTGTATGTGAGTGTGCATTTGTGTATGTGTGTGAGATATATATATATGTGTGTGTGTGTGTGTGTGAGAGAGAGAGGGTGTGTATGTATGTGTATGTGTATGTGAGTGTGCATTTGTGTATGTGTGATATATATATGTGTGTGTGTGTGAGAGAGGATGTGTATATATGTGTATGTGTATGTGAGTGTGCATTTGTGTATGTGTGATATATATATGTGTGTGTGTGTGTGTGAGAGAGGATGTGTATATATGTGTATGTGTATGTGAGTGTGCATTTGTGTATGTGTGATATATATGTGTGTGTGTGTGTGTGTGTGTGTGTGTGTGTGTGTGTGTGTGTGTGTGTATGTGAGTGTTTGTGTATATGTGTGACTGTGTGTGTGGAATGGCTTTGCCCAGAAAAGTGTTAGGTTCCCTGTCCCTAAGGGTCTTTGGGCAGGAGTCAGATGACCTATTATTGAAGGTGTTATAGGTCTAATTCTTGCTCTAGGGTGGGGTAGACTGGAAGATGCCTGAGGTCACTTCTGACTCTGAGATTCTGTGATTATGAGACTGTGTGATCTTGGGAATGTCACTGTCCCTCCCTGAGCCTTAGTTTCCTCCTCTGTAAAGAGAGGGCTTTGAATGGAATGAGTTCTAAGGTTCCTTCTGCTTCTAAGTCTTTCCCTCTGTGGTCTTCATCAGTTGCTATCCTGGGAAATGCCTCATCTCTGGTGGTCCTGGTGGGAGAGTCCTTGCAGCTGGAGTGTGTTGCAGAGAGCAGTCCCCCTGCCTACATGAACTGGGCCAAGGGGAGCCAGCCCTTGAACTCTTCCCTTCCCTCCAGTCCTGGGATCCTGTGTCTAGAACTGGCCCATGTCCAGCCAGGAGATGGAGGGGAGTACACCTGCCAAGCTCAGAACCCATGGGGGACCCAGCACATCTCCCTGAACCTTTCTGTGCAGTGTGAGTTCCAGGGAATGGGGTGCTGGATGCCTGAGGCCCAGAAGGTTGGAGAGTGAACCCTACTAATCCCTATTCCTGTCCTTCCCCACAGACCCTCCGAGGCTGTTCGACCCCTTTTGCTCATGGGCTGATGAGGGCTTACTCTGTACCTGCTGTATTCAGGCAGAGCCCACCCCATCTTTAATCTGGTGGGTGGGGGAGAGAACAGTAGAAGACAATGGCAACAATGACCTCCTCCAGGTAATGTCCACCACCTCTGGGGCCTGGACCAACAGCAGCTTGATCCTGAGGGAGAAGTGGGACCTTGACCTCAGCCTCCGCTGTGAGGGGAGGAATCAACATGGAGCTCACAGTCTTCTTGTCCTGATGGTGTCAGGTGAGTCCTGGAGGGGCAGGAGCCTGGGCCCCTCAGGGGAATGGGACCCAGGAGGAACATATAGGATCAGGGGCAAGGGAAATCCAGGTATGGGAACAGAGTCAGGGAAAGAGTGTGTGTTGGGGGGAAGTAATTAGTTACGGGAAGGGGATGGCTCTCTACCTGCAAGTAGCCAAGGAGAGTCAGTGGCCAGGAATGTCTGAGGGCTCTGGGATCAGAGATTTAGAAAGCACCAGAAGGCTATCTGAACTGTTAGAAAGACCCTTCTGTGATTCTGAACTTCTAAGCACAATCACTGACCAGCTGCCTGACCTCTGGCTAGCTCCTTCCCCTTTCTGAGTCACAATTTCCAAATTTGTAAAGCGGAGATACTAATATTTGCATCACACAAATCACTAGAGAATTGTAAAGAACACTACAAAAAAAAAAGCTAAAAGCCTTAACAGAAGGGATGATGAAGGGGGAGGGGGAAGGGCATGGCAGACAGGAGAGCCAATCAATCCAATCTTGTCTTTTTGCAGATAGAACAAGTATAGCTGCCCTCGAATTCTCCAAAGGGGCACTTTTGGGAGCTGGGATCATGGCCCTTCTCATTCTCTGCCTCGTGCTCGCCTAGTGAGTGGGGAGCAAGGCATAGGAGCTGAGAAGGGTGATTGGTAGGGGGGCTTCTGTAAGGTTGGGGGAGTGATTGATCAGGGACCTTGATGCAATGCTGGGCTTGTTTCTTCAGTAAGAAGTTTCTGAGGATGAAGCAGCTAGAGACTGGGGAGGTAGGGATCACAGACTCCCAGAGCAACATGGAGGCGGACTATGTTAATCTGGATATGGTGAGTAAGCTGACCCTGGTACTGAAGTCCCACCCCCACCCACCAAACCTCATGTTAATTGGCATCTGAAGAAATCCATGAATGCTCTCTGCCACTTACTTACTGGCTATGGGACCTTAGACAAGTCCCTTCCCCAAATCTAAGCTTCAGTTTCACCATCTGTGCAGTGATGGGTATGGATTGGCTTCAGTTCCATTCAACAAATATTTTATGAACCGTTGCTCTGTGTGAGGCGTGAGAGGAAGCATGGAGGAATGGACCGGGTGCTGGCCTCAGTCACAGATTGGCGTGTGGCCTCAAGCAGGTTACTTTACCTCTGAATGACCCATGACACTCTCTAGGTTTGTTTCAGAACAGGTACTGATTTCTATGGATAGGGGAACAGCCTCATTGGAAGCTAGTTAGCTATGCAGACAAAAATTATGGGTCTGGTCGAAAAGATGAAAAGGGGTATCAGGTGCTATGCTTGGCTCTGTGGGTCGAAAAGCAGAGATGAATTAGTTCTTGCTTCTACTGTGGGAGGGGAAGAAGAATCAACATGAACACAGATAAAAGACATTATTTCATCTATTAAGTATATGAAATCTATACAAAGTAATTGGGAAAGGTGAGAATATTAATTACTGGGAGGAATCCAGATAAGCGTCTTGGGAGACATGGCTCCTGATTGAAAGGGAGCTCAGCGTTCTGATAGGCAGAGGTGAATGGCCAGAGTGAGGGCTTGTCAGGTATGGGTAAAGCTGCACTTGCAAAAGATGGAATCATATGAGGAGGGTACAGCAAATGTGGAGACACAGGAGGCAGAGAGGCAAACTAGGAGATGCTTTCAATACTCCAGCAGAAAGGAGAAGGATCTGAACTCAGGGGGTGGCTATGTGAGTGGAGTGGAGGGCATGGATGCAAGGGTAGGGAGATAAGACTCATGACTAATATGGGAGCTGATCAAGTCACCAAGTGGCAGACTGTAGAGAGATGAGGAAAGGACCCATGTCAAGGACTTGGAGGGCATGACGCGAATGGCAGATTACCTAAGGGCACTGAGGACAGGTCTGACCAAGGGAACTCAGTGAAAACGGTGACATAAAAAATCCAGAGTGGAGAGGGTATCAAAAAGGAGAGGGTGGTTAACATTACCAAAAACTACAGATGAGAATAGAGGAGAGGCCATGAGATTGGGCAGCTAAAAGATTGTGGGTGGCTTTGGAGAGGATGGATTCAGCTGAGTGATCTAGTTGAAGCTGTTTTCGTATGAGTTAAGAACAGAGGTCAAGGAGAGGATGTGGAGGGCAAGTCCTTTCCCTTTTCTTGTCCTTGATTTTCTCATTGAAAAATGGGCAGCTAGAACGAGGTGGTCTCTCAGGTTACTCACAGGCCTGAAAACTCTGTTCCTTCCTCTCTAAAGTGGTAGCCTGCTTGGTCCCAGTTATCACCTTCCTGCCATAATTCTACCCATTGGCAAGGCTCTGAGTCAACACACCTCCATCCTCTGCCTCATCCAGGATCATGGCTTTAGGAGTAGAAGGACCCCCAGAGATCAGCTGCTCCAAATTCCTTATTTCACAAACAATGAAACTGAATTTGAAAGTGAGGGAGTGAGTTAATCCAAATTACTTTCTGCTTGAGCTGAGATTCAAATCTGAGGTCTTTTGATTCTAAATCCAGAGTTCTTTTTAAGACACAACTGTGCCTCCCCTTCAGAGCAGGAAAGAACCTTAGAATTGCATTATTAACCCCTATTCAATTTTATGGAAGGTGAGACTGAGGTTCAGAGAGAAAAATGGCCTCATCTAACTCAGCTTTTATAGGCTTTAGACCTGGAAGGAACCTTAGGGAACAAATAATCCCACCCCCTCATTTTATGGAATGCCACGAGTGGGAAAGTGACTTACCCAAGGTTACATAGTCAGTTACTGGCAGAGCCTTAGAGACTACCTAATCCAACCCCACTCATTTTCCATAGGTCTGAATTAAACTCAAATTTATATATCACATAATCCAACCCTCCTCTTTGTCAGGGGAAACCGAGACTTAGAGAGGGCAAGGGGCTTATCCATGGTCATGCAGTAATATTAGACATCCTCTAGCGCAGCTGCAGCTTGGCAGAGTGGACTCAATGTGGAGTCACAAATACCTTGGTTCAAAGACAACTTCTGACACTTGCTTGCTGTGTGAGAGTGGCTGAAACACTTAGCCCCTGCATCTTCCCCTTACTTCTCCCCACTGCCCATGTCATCTTTGCAGAGCCTCAATGTCTTCATCTGCAAAATGGAAATACTAATACCTATAATATTTATCTCACAGGGTTATGAGACCCCCATGAGGTGACATATGTAAATCATCTGTTAGACTTTAAAGTAGGATATAAACATCAGCTATTATTACAGAAGGGGAAACTGACTCTATCAAAAGAAAAAGTCACAGAAGTACAGGCTTAGGGACCAACAATTTCCACTGATCTTCATTTCAGGACTAGGAAACTGAGGTCTGGTGGTGAGGTGGGGTGGGGGGGTGTTATTCAGGGAGTTAGAGGCAGAAGTTAGTCTCAAGCCCAGTCCCCCTGACTCCCAGTCCAAGATTCCCTCAGACTCACTGTGAAAAGATTTAGCAAGCAGGTAACATCTACCTGCCCAAAGAGAATGACTCCCTACTCCCTAGCCATGACAATTTCCTTTCCAGACCATGATGACTTTTTGTGGTCAGGCTGAGACCCCCAGCATTCCCATGCTCATGATAGATCCTTTGCCCCTTATTCCTACAGAAGCAGGGTAGAATCCCCAGACCACCACCTTCTGACCCAGTCACCCAAGCCCCACCAGAGGAGCTGCATTATGCATCGATTAACTTCAGAAGACCCAACCTGAAGAACCCAGAGGAATCCACTGAGTACTCGGAGGTCAAGTTCTGATCTGGGGCGAATAGGGTGGGAGAAGAAATAAAGAGAATGCATTCTATGCCTGGAAGGTGCTTATTCTGTCGGGAGACTAAGGCCTCAGACTCTTGACTGCTCTATCGATTGACCCTGAAATGCCCTGACACCGGAGGTATTTTTTCACTCTAAACCTAGGAGGAGAGGGAGAAAGCTCTAGAGAACCAAGGAAGCAGACAGAGGAGGTGTTTTCCAGGTAGCCATGTCTTGTCAAGGGGGCCAAGAATTGGGAGGGCCCTGAGAACACAGAATGTGGGAGGAAGCTTAGAATACACAATAGCAGAGCTTGAAAGGAGGTTAGAATACAGAATAGCAGAGTTGAGAGAAACCTCAAAGCCAATTTCATCCAAACTGTTTAGCGGAGTGGGAGCCCTCTTTACAATATTCTTCCAAAATAAGAAACCAGATTTTGGCTGAAAGACCTTCCAGTGATGGGGAGCCTCCTCCATCCCAAGGTAGTCAATTCCACTTTTAGTTCATTCTGATTGGTTGTTTTTCCTAACATCAATCCATCAGCTAGTCAACAAGCAAAAAGTGCTTACTAAGCACCTATCATGTTCTAGGCACTGCGCCATGCACTGGGGACACAAAGTCAAAAAATGAAACAGTCCCTGGCCCCAGTTTATATCCACCTGAGGAGTCATGATGCACACATACAAGTGTAACATTCCTTATTGGGTTCACTCTCCACTCACACTGGTCCTATCACCTTGGGTCCACAAATCACTGGCTGCTACTCCCCTTAGGGTTCTAATGGAAATCCAATGGGTGACCATCTTCCTAACACAAACTCATAAACTCTCACAAGTGGATTTCTCCTAATTTTTTTTAAATCAAAGGCATGGCAGAACATGGCAGAGAAAGATCAGTAGTTAAAAAGCATCCTCCCCCCAAATCTGGGGCCCATTCTGTCACATATGCACAGTCCCTGAGGAGGAGAGAAGAATGGACACAGAGTCCAGTGTCAAGGAGGCACATGTGGCCAAGGCAACTCACAGCTCTGGAATTGTAGAGCCCCCAAGTCTTGTCTTTCTCCATAGGGTCCTCTTGAAGTTTGATTCAAGATATGCCATTGTGGGTGGTGCCCAGCCTGGGCTGAATTCTTACAGTCATGGAAGGGTAACTTTGCTGTTGGCCTGGATCAGGTGGGTCACGGGGCTGCCAAGAGGGCTCCTTATAGCAGCTCAAGGCCACTTGGCAGCTGGGCTCCAGACAAGACTAGGAAGGCCTCCCTACCACTGACTTCTTATTGCTAGATAGGCTAGGCAGGTTGCCAAACCAATGACCTCTCCTAAGAGCCGGGTATATCCCCTAGACAGGCCAATCTGCTGGATTCCCTTTGCTCATTCTTCAATGGGCAAGTTTGGTCTTTTACCATCTCAGTCACCTGCTCATCAGGGTGACAATATGTTCTCTTCAACTGGAGTGCTCCTTCAGCAGGAGCAATGACATAGAGATTTGGGTTGTTAGAAGTCTATTCTCTTTGATTCCCTCAGAGCCTTCTGTAAATATGTACTATATATGCTTACACAAAAACACACAATGCATTTTGAATCTGGTTCTTACTTCAGGAAATAGCCACAGAAAGATGTTATGATGGAAGTATTTAACAGTGCAAAGGCAACAACACATTATTCCCCAACCCCATGTCTAATCTCTTGGAGAATAGGAAGGAAAATTATTTATAAGTCATTGCCTCAGCAGATTGGACCAATCAAGCCTGAGCTTGTATGTTGTTTGAAGTTTGAAGTTTGAAGTTTGAAGTTTGAAACATTGTGGGAATTACCGAAAGGTGACACAGAGACATGATGTGAACACATGCTGCTGAAAAAATGGCACCAATACTCTTGCTTGACACAAGATTACCACAAACTTTCAATTTGTAAAAAAAAAAAAAGCAAGATCTGTGAAGTTCAATAAAACAATGCACAATAAGGTGAGTTATGCTTTTAATAGATGTAGTGGGACAGAACATCAGGACGTGACATTGCATGTATGAAGGGTTGTGTAGCACTCCATGAAGCCTGAAGGAAAGAGCACAGTATCCAGCTGGGGCTGAATATTCTAATCATCTAAAAGTCATCTGGAGGAAAGACCAAGATATACGAATCATGAATTACTTAGTGTGTGAGAAGGGGCCACTCTCACACCAAGACTTGAGACAATGACTGTTCCAATGAGACCCAAGAACATCTGTATTGTCCCAAGAAATTCTGACCATGAGAACTATCTCAAGATCTAAGAATGATTGTGTTGTGGGCCAACCCTTTTCATGTATATAAGTGGCCTCAGCCTTAGCAGCCTTAAGCCCCTCTTTCTTAGGAGTGAGGAGAGGCTTCCTCCTGCAAGCTTCATTTTCCTCATTCTGAAATTAAACCTCTGTTTGTGTCCTGACTTTCCTGTCTCTAGCCTGCTCTGTGTTGGCCCGGCCACCCAGGTTAGAGGCCAGTTCTGGTCCAGTTAACAGGTCATATTTGCTTATCATAGCAGGACTGAGATGCCCAGGCTTCACTCTCAAAATGAATTCCAGAGGTGCGATATTGGGGTGTCTCCTAGGAAATCTCAAAATGAATTCCAGATTTCCCAGGAGACACCCCAATATCACACCTCTGCTGAGACACCCTCTCAAAAGCAGAACGTCTCTCAAAGTCCTCTTTGGCAGAGTCTTAGCCACAACATGTGTGCACAAATCACCCCAAAATATACCTCTGCATCCTGGCTTGAGGAAGTCTTGCCAATTCTATTCTACCGATGATCCCTCTGCTGTTGAGAGTGAAAATTCAGAGAGCTACAGCATAAAGAAAACAACCTTAAAACATGTATAAACATAGAAATTTACCCAGAGAAGATCTAATTGCTGGTAATAGGGAAAGATTCAAATCGCAGCCAGAGTCCTACCAGAAAGCTCCCCTCTGGACAAATTCTCCACCTGGGCCCAAAAAGATATAGTAGAGTTTTTGTTATGAATTTGGAGTGCAGAACTCTGGTCCCTTCTGTGGTTGCCAAACTGTGATGAATGAAAAGCCCAAGAGATATAGTTTCTGGGTAATCAATAATCAGTTTATTAATTTTGCCTAGCAAATAATTAATAGATTGAGGTCAGTGATTTTCTCTCATAAACCAAAGAAACTCCTTTTGAGCCTGAAGTTTTAAATATCCTTGAAAAGTGGGTGTTCCAGACAGGTGGAAGTCAACGCTTTTTGGTTAACAATTAATGAGAGGTGGCTTATTCTAATGAAGGGTTGGGAGATGTAACTCTGATCATATCACCTTTGGGCAAAGAGGCTTATCTCCACACCCAGATCATTCTGCCTCAGCAATCTAACAAAAGGATCTATCCTTCCTCCCCGACCACTTAGGGAGTTGAACAATGGGCTAGAATTCACCTAGATAAGATCATTTTTACCCTTTAACCAGAACTAAGCCCTGGGGATCCCATTCAAGACTGTGAAGAATGTTAACCCAATCTCATCATTAGTCTTGTCCTTCACAAAGACTGAGTTTTGAATGAGGAAATAGGAAGGGAAAAATCCCCGGATCCCCTTCATATTAAGTGGTTATTAATAATCATTTTTGTCATCCCTAGTTACACTCTGAGGCACAGAACTGGGGCCCTGGACACACATACATGCACATACACACACACACACACACACACGCATGCATCTTCCTCCCATTTATTCCCTTTCTATGATCTGTGAGGAAGTGAAGTTTAGAAATCACCCCTTGTCTCACCAGAGAGAAGGGAAGGCAGCTGAAAGGAGTCTCAGTAGATAGCTGGGCAGAGTGTGTGGTCATGCTCCAGTTTCTCTTTAATTTTTTGCTACGTCTAATAAACTATGAGTCCATAGTTTGTTTGTTACCTGAGTCCAATAAATGTAGGGATTGCTTGGAAATTCCTAATGTAGGATGGTGGCAGACAAATGCAATTAAAAAAAGTCTAATCAATGTTTTAAACTGTCCCTTGTCAACTGGACCAGCACTGGCCTCTAACCTGGGAATAGCTGGAGCTGAACAGAGCGGGCCAGGGGCAGGCGTATCATGGGTTAAACAGAATGAGGAAAATGATTGTAAGAAGAAGCCCCCCCCCCCCCCAAGTAGGGCTTAACACAGGCTGGGGCAAATGCAGGTTTTATATGCATTAAAAAACAACAAATGGGCTGGACCACGACATAATCATTCTTAGCAGTTCCCATGGAAGGCTCATGTGTGGACAATGCAGGCATTCCTTGGGGAAATAGTTAAGTTGATTTTCTTAAAATCTGAAGGGTCATTGAGACTCGTGCTCATTCAGTGGGGTAGAGAACCAGAGTTAGTGTGCAGGAACAGGAATGCAGTACCTGGTTTGGTTAACTTGGCTCTTACAAAAAACAAAACAAAACAAAAAAACCAAACAAATCAGGGATTGAGAGCATGTCAAGAGATGTGATGGATAGCTTTAGGATGAATCCCTCAACGAACACCAGGTTCTGGTCAAAGCAATACACTTTGCCAGAGGGTAAGGTCATCCAGAGCTCAAAGGATTGTTCTTAGGCCAAACTCAGGGCACAGCCTGTTTGCTGGGCCTTCACTCTGAGAAACTAGTGTCTCTGAATACCCTGACACCCTTAATCTAAATTCAGAACTCAGCCAGAATGGGTTTTTAACTTTCCAAAGCAGTCACAGTGACGCTGTATAGTCATCTGGGAGATTCCTGCAATCACAGCTGGAGAGTCTGAGTACACTTGGCTGGTGGTTTGATTATAATGCCACCTGGTGGACAACTCATATAATACACTTCCTTAATGGTTAATTCATCAGGTGATAACACTGAAGGAAAGCAGTAGTTTGGGGGGCTGACACCTCTGCAGTAGGTCAGGTGTCAAAATGGGGCCCCTATGAAGTGCACCTGTTACTCACAGGTAACGCAAGTGCAAAGAATCTTTGGTATTTCTATTAATTACTAAAAAAAACCCCAAACATTTCTTCTTTCTTCTTTTCCTCCTACTCTTCCTCCTTTTTTTTTTTCCCCCATCAGTGCAGGTA